AAGTTTGACCATACAGCTCATTACATAATATCTATTTGCATGATTATTACCTGAGACGTAATGGCACGCTCAGGGTTTGCCTACCTGTCGCTGTTGAGTTCATACACACAGATAGATCTAGACATACGTTTATACGTACGATGCCAGCACCACAAACCAAAAAAACTTCACGCTAATTTGATTAGAAGTGACCGTAACTGACGTTGGGGCCGTTCGATAGCGGCGCCGGTGCCTGGCTCTGAGTCTGCACGAGCAACGATGCAGGTGTCTGGAACAACCTGCCAATAGGGAGCGCCATCATTATAGATAGTGGTAGACTCCGACATAATAGACAGAGTCGTAGAAACTGTAATACTAATCCAGCGCTGTTTGCACAGATAAGGACTTGTGTGTATATTAGAGCAATTAAGTTATTATATTATGGTTATTCGAGAGAAATATATATATAAATGAGATATTGTATAGGTTCTTCTGTACATGCCTTAGATCTTATAACAGACCTTTGGTGGTCTGGGCCATACAAGCGACACGAAACGAAGAGAAAACTTAAATGAAGAAATAATTTTTATAAATGATCAGATCCGTGCTAGAAAGGTTAGGATAGCGGAGTGACAATTTAGGTGTGAACATACATTGAATGCGGCTAATCGGCGTATACGAATTAGAAGATTAAACTAGTCTTTATAAAAATTAGATCTTATATGTATGCTAGAGGTCAACTGTCGAAGACGCTGCTAATGCACAAAAAGGCATAGTATTCGAAACGACTTTACTTCACAAGGTAACCTACCAGCCGCGCCACTGTAATAATCAAACAGCAATAGAAGCACGAAATACGTGACGCAAAGGCATAAGTAATTAAAATGGATTCGTGGAATGCTCAAAATCCGTATAACATGTAAGGTAGGTGTAAAAAAACAGCCCAATGGAATCGATCAGATACCGTCACGATATCGCGCTGTAAAGTAACTTAGTAACTCGGACAAACAAAGTATGTTTACTGAAGTACGTGGTCGAAGAATCTGAACGAGGACACTGCGATTGACTAAGAAATGCAGCTATCACGAGATAGTAAGAGTAATGCGATGTGGACAACAGACTAACTGCTATAGCTTCACGTTTAAAATACGGTTCAGGTTGAGCAGGTCCGTTCTGAATTCGTTCTATGTTAGATTGGAAGAAATAGAGTTGTATTAGGTAAAAGGTAGGCTATCTGTACTCAGATCACATGCGAGACAATCCATTCCGTACTTTCTGTGTGTGAAGACCAGCTGCTTGAACTGCATAGGTGGTGCAAGCACATGCGCCTATGTATTATAAACCGCACTAAACAAAAGATAGATTGTGCCGCCTGATTGAGAACTCGGCTAGATGACGTAATTTTGGTACGCCTTGAATCGCGAACCGTCTGCTAGGCGACCAGCATGGCAGGCGCAACTGGCAGCAAAAATAACAACGGCAATAACATTAACAACAGCAGCGGACTTTTAGCCACTACCAGCCTTCTCGCTATTTCGTGCCGTTGATTTACAACTCATTCTCGGTCGTCGCTCAGTCTTTCCTTCTCTATTCCGCTTTTTTCAATGCGAAGACTCCATGGGGCTCATACACTCGACAATGTAATGGGGATGATGCATTTCCTTTTCGTTCAATTTAGCAGCTAGGGAACAACACCCACTCATGTGTCCCGACAGCGTGAGCCGTTTCCACCGTCGGCGAGCTGCAACAAACGGACGTACATCCCCGCTAGAGCTCGGACGACGGCAGTTCTTCCCTCGAGGCTCAAGCTGACAAGGCCGTTGCCCAGCGATCGAATGACTCTCTTCTATTATCATGTAGCATGTGTACTGAGTGTGTGTACGTATACGTATATATACGCGTGCGTGTGCGTATTTGAGGCAGTGTCGTTCCAAGCCACATAAATTATTGGGGATAACAATGTTCCTATTAACTGTTCTGTACCGTTAGAAAAATGAGGATCAAGAGCGGATAATGGAACGCGCTGTCTAACTAGGTATGCGCAAAAGTACCGAACAGCGAGATAAACATCGGGATCCGGCGATAGCTGTGGACGTGTTATAATGTCGACACGTCAGAAAACTTGTGTAGATGCATGTCATTCACTCGGGTCACCGGTGACCTTTTTACGGGAAGCGTTTATTTGGGCTTGGGAATGGGCTCGAAACCGTATGAGCGACGGACATTGCAATGATGTTTGTACTCATCGGAATAATTGTTGATGGATGAACGTGATACCGACTTTGCTACAAACGGATAACTGTTAAGCTCTAATCATCTGAGAAAGGGAGCAACGGCATCAAAGGCGACATGAGCATAACGCAAACAGTATTTACTAGCTGTCACAAATCTGTTGATAAATAGGCAATCTTCGTGAACGTGTACCCAAATCAAAGTACTACCATTAACGCATTTCACTATGAAGATATTAGAAGCACGCTTCAGTAGCTGATAACAAGCAACCTGACGCGGGTTCAATAATTGTAATAAAATGACTCAAAGAAACAGTGAAAACGCGCTAAATAAGTTTCTTTGTTTCTTTTAGTCCCGACAGATGCGCTCATCTAAGCTAGTACACTTACATATAAACCCAAAAAATTGTCATGCAATGCTGCCAGTTAAACACATGGATATGGAGAAACACTTATATAAGGGTGTCATAAAAAAGAAGTTTTCCGTCACATCTGCCTGTTTTGCGCATATTCCGCGTTTTTCTGCTCTTCACATATACTTATATGCCCGGTTGTCGTCTCAACCTACAGATCCTTGACAAAAAGCCAAAACAAAGGCCTATGCCACTTACGGAAAAAATACGGTCCCAGCCAGCGGAAGAAAGACACACGCTTTGTGGTCCACTTTTAAACGCTCTCATAACCGCGGTGAAGCCAACAAAATCTAACGTGACAACGAAAACTGCTAGCTTTACATGACCCTATTCGCTCCCCGCAGGAATCAGCTTCTTTCCTGTTTGTCAAACGAAACGACACAGGATATTGTGTCGTAGCTGCTCTGATACTGGACACGAAACATCCACACGTTGATTTCTCCATGCGTTGTCGTTACTACCACCTTCTGAACTTTTTTTAAATTCACTTCGTCGTTCAGAGTAAAATGGGTTAATTCACCGACCGCCGTAAAGCGACTCCCTGCCCTTTTCACTTGCTTTTACATGACGGGGAAGAAAAAGATTTTTTTCTGAAGAGTAACATACCGCCGGTAGAGTAGGACCAGCGAGGCCATACTAGCAGGCTAAGCCAGCCCAATCGAGGCTTGGCAGCGAAAGGCCTCAAAAAAATGGCCTCGGGCATGAAGATGGAGCAAAAGCTGAATGCTCCCTAGTTGCTTTTGGACTAAGCGGTAAGCTGAGGAAACGAGGCCGGGGCACTTATTGCAAACAACGGCAGCAGAGGAACGACTAACCGACAGGCATTCCGACAGTTTTCTGCCCTAGGTCTTCGGAGCCAACAATCTAGCCTGGATCTGTGTTCACGCTGGCGACAGGCCAGACAACTATGACAGTTTCGTGGTCGGCCTCATTTTCTTTTTTTTTTTTGTTAAAATTCAACTTTGTTCTCTTCTCTATTTTGACCCCAGCGTATTTCGTATTTCATCGAAACGAGAAGCTTTCAACTGCCCGACCCTCCTGTAAAGCCTACTTTATTCCTTCAATTTTCTATAATTCATAGTGTTCGCGATCATCCTTTTGTCAGGATATTCTTTCTAGTGTACTATTAGTCCGCTCCTTCAAACTCGAGTGCGATATTACAAGAGTGTCAGGAGAACGCTCTTGTTCCATTGTTATCTTTAGCCTATAGCAAAGATTCCGCGCCCTACAATGTTCCCCTAATGGTTTCCTAAAGTCGCTCCACTTTCAAGCCAAGTCTAGCTTTGACAAAAAGATGAACATGTTGACGTAGAATTTGAAGTCACAACTTCAGACATTAATCCGGATGAGCATGGGATTGGCTTCTAATGTGTGGCCATGTCTTATTAACGGATTCTTTTTTTAGCTTGTTCTAGATGACATCCTCCTTTTCGTTGCTTCTATGCCCTTCTTCCTAATTTCAGAAACCTTTCTACTTCTAACATAAAACATGGTAGATGGCGCTGGAAGTTATTGCGCTTGTCTTGTTGTGAATAGTCTCAAAGCTGAAAAAATATTGTATGCATCCATAATGCTATTGGAATATGCCGAAACAGCTTGAGCATCCGATACCTTCAGCCTGCATGGCGTTTTTGCTGTGAGAGGATTGTAACGGCCTGTGCCTACACGCATGCCAAATCACTTGGGCAGAGTGCATCCTGCTGGTTTAATATTCGCGCCGTCATTTGAAGTCTACATGAAGTTCAAAAGCTGCATTAAGTGAAATCCACTGCCGAGAATCACATTAGTCTATAGACAGCATGAAGGGTTTAATATAGCTAAGTAGCTATTGTTCCTCGTAGCCTTGCACTGCCCGATGCGTCGCTACGTAAACTTATTTAATTTGTGTTTAAGCTAAATGCGTGAGTTTACTTGGCTAAGGCTCCAGCTAGATTGACTGCTAAGACTGCTATACGGGAGCTCCAGGATATGTGCATAGCATACTATCGTATAACTTAATACGAATAATTTTTAGCACGCCACAGAGAGAACGTTTTAGGACCTATTCCAAAAATCAACTTTCATTAACCCTGATAACAACTGTGATTATATGTTATAGATGGGAGTAACTTTTCGAGTAAGAGGAAAGGCAATTTCTATTATATTCCAATCATTAAAAACTGGCGCTCATTTAAACTATTTAAACGCAAACGGTGTACAATGACGGGGTTCGGTCTACATTTGGTGCTTGACATGTCAGCCTTTATTCTTTAAAGTTATTAGTAAGCATAGCTGAGTAAGAGTTGTACCTAATTTATTCGTTTATTCCTTGATTGTTCCTTCCTTGATCCTTCCTAGATGGTTATGAATTTGTGCAACGAACGCGTTACAGACTTACGGTGTACGATGAGGTCTACAGCAGCGCTGAGCGATGGTCCGACTCCATTCGCTGCTTCGCATAGATATCGGCCCTTGTCTTCTGTCTGAACCGAAATGATGTTTAGGGAGCCGTTTTCCAGAACGTGCATATGAGGACTCGACACGATGCCATGGAAATCGCTAGCCTCATCTGCAAAGGGAAACATATACAGATATATAACAAAAGCGACAGACTGAGAAAACATCCTTGCCGTATGGTGTCTAACAGATCTTCAGTCGCAGCGCCCATAACACTTGCAATGGTATTTGAATCGATAAAAGCTGCTGTTTATAAATACTTCGACCCTAGCGGCTTGATTATCTATTCCAGAGTATCTGCGCGGGGATCACCTATACAACGAGGTCCTACTGAATAACCGCAGTCTATTCAGCCTGATCCACTAACAAGGCCACATATGCGCTTAATTTACGATCAATTTAATGGGTTAGAAGCAGGTGCTGCGTTCCCAATGAACACGCAGTCGCATAGATCGGTTGGTAAGATTAAACAATGCCGAACAGCTACTTCATACGTCAATGCAAGAAAAATTCGCATCTTACATTGAGAACAGTCTTTTCTACACGAAATCGTTCTTTGTCTGTGTTAGTCCAAATGTATATCTGGTGGTTCATCGATATTTTTGCGACTGGTACATAAAACCCAGAATGTCCCTAGGTTTTCAGGCGTTTGCTGTTGGTAACCGTAAATTAACTGGTAAAACTTTCCATGTACAACAAGAATTGTACAACCTTAGAGGCAGACTGTTTTGCACTCTTGGTTTCATTTCTGCAACCTTTTTGGCAATCAGTTGACCTAAATAATCGGCCCGACTAACCACGGAGTCTCTCTGAGCTTCTTTTCAAGTTTTCTTTTTTATGTTTCAATTAAAAAACAAGTTGGTAACATATAACTCGAGGGGAGATCTGAAATATGACGCTTCGTTTAAGCCGTTCATAGTCAAACTTTCAACGTACAATTTTTAATGGGTACACTCGCGAAATTTAATATGACCTGTTAAGCTTTTGTCGGTTAGTGTCAATGGTGACCCAGCAACAAAGTAAATAAATTGTGCTACGTCTTAGTAATTCATACCATGAGAGAAACAATTACTCAGTTAATCTACATAATTCTGTATTGCGTTAACAGCTTACTGTGATATTCCTATATATTTTTCGACAAAATCCGTGCTCCTTCACATTCAACCATCCGCTATAACTTAGAACTCTATTAGGTCTATAAAACAGTCAGTTGTACTGATTTCAGCCCTTGAAGTTCCCCTAGCATGTAAACCAAGTCCTAACCTTGCTCATATATCATAAGGGAATATGAGATCAACGACTTTATAAGGTATCTGCTTTAACAGCAAGTCAGCGATTCACATTTTGTATATATAGATTGATGAGCTTCTAGAATAACGCAGTTAACAACAGGAGGCTGCAATAGCAATGCACGTAGATAGCCGTGCACCCCCCACCAGTAAGGGGCTTGCTCAGGAATTAAATTCCTTCTACTTCGTTCGCGGTATTATGATGGCCTTTGCTTTCTGGCCTTTTTCTGCTGTTTAATGCCCAGAGATGTTGCCTGTGGCGAGCTCGCCATAGCACCGTTATACCGTTTCCAAATTGTTATAGAACATTTTGCGGCAGTTCATCCGCAGGGTAGGGTTGCTTTGCAGGTACCAGAGGCAAGAACTAAGGGCAGTAGCAGCCAGGTCAAACGACCTTTTCGGAAGGCTTCTTTAGGCTCATCACACAGCAAGTCGTTTTGCGTCGTACTAAGGGCTCGAGAGTTCGTCAGTGTTGGATCAGCTAAGGTGAATTGGAGAGGATCGGTTTGGAAAACTAGTTCCCTAAGGGCACGGGAGATACGAGGCCAAAGTGGAACACACATCACTAAAAACAGTCGCACTGCCACTGAAAACGGCTGGATAGAAACGACTGGAAATGATCCACTCGTAGTGTCGCAGTAGTCCTAAAATGACGCAGTGGTCCTTGATCGTCGGGTCAAGCACACCACAGAATCAGCTACGTCCATCGCCAATGCTGTGCGATGATAGGAGTTCGTCCTGCGACTTTGAGTTGACCGGAAATCGGCAACGAGCCATCCGCAAGTTGTTGCAAGCGCGCACAGATTGCCCGAGGCATAATTTGGCCAGAAGTACGTTATACCTGAACAATAAGTATTGAACGAAAACACAAAGTTTTACAAGCGTAGTTATCGACATTCGTAGTGAGCTGCTGCAACCACAAATGGGCCAGCAAAAAGGACGGCTGACGATTTATAACGCGAATAAAACCTATGACAGGTATACGATTCCTGCGGATCACGCTATGGCTTGTTCAGCAAGATGGTCTTTCAACAATGCAAGATCATCAGTATAGGTAACAATCGCAACTTTGTTAAAGAAAAAATTAATTTCTTCAAAAATTTCTTCCTGGAATGTCTTTATACTCACTCAACCCGCATGACATGAGTCTGAGATTTTGTATAACAAGGACTACTTCTCTTTGGTGAGATACGTTAGGTACATTCCCGCAGTCAGTTTACGTCCTGCTATTATCATTGGGGCCTGGTACTAGCACCACTTGCAAACTTTGATCTTTTCAGTTATGCAGAGATTCAAATGCTAACACCTGCTATCTTGGACAAATCTGAAGTCTCAGCTACGTTTATAGTCAGTGTTGTACTGCAATGTACCGAGCGTTGGTATCGCCGTTTGTCCGCTTTATTTTACACACATATCGACCGAATTGTTGGTAAGCAACTGGCAGATGCTTTACGGTGGGATTACGATTTGCTGGTTGGAATGACAAACAATTGGCATAATGGTTCAGCGGAAGCAATATTGGGTCACACATTTTCAGGAACGTCCTAAACCTATGTTACGCTATCGTTCGTCACCACATACTTCATCATACGTTTATAATTCGCTATAATGCTATCATAATTTTCGATTTATATTAACATCCTGTGCCATATCTGTTTACAATAGTAGCAGTTATCCGTAACCGATACGCTTCAAACGGACCACATGCTGTATAACGGTCATAACGCGGTCTAACCGCTATTCCGGACTAAAACTTGAAACGTTCGATTTTCTCCATAGGTTTTACATGCATATGCGCGCTTGATACTCAACTTTGACAAAATGACGGAAACAATTTATTTGTTCTATTATACACCAGTATTACATCGAATTGCGAGTACAATACATATTCCGACGTACGAACCCAGGTACTCTCGAGTGGAGAAAGCAGCGCATGTAGAGTCAAAATACGTTATATTTATACGTTAATATAAATAAACAAAGGAAAATTCTCTATACGAGATTTTATTTCAAAAATGGTAGTAGCGAATGAATTATCCGGTTCAGATTTTTCATCCGTTCCAGTCATATCTTCATCCAACCTACTTAGTCGCTTTCTGCCGTTTGTCGCTACGGTCTTCGTCATTCGTGTGCGTGGAGGATGTCTTTTAACAGCCTTAACGGCCGTTAAGGCAGGCGGATTATCGAGAGGCTCTTGCGTTGACGGGGTTTTGTTAGAGGCGCTCTTTCTTATTTCTTTTCTTCTTTCTGCTCCTGCCCCTCAAATGCTTCGCGCATCCATCTCTTCAACACCGCGTCAGAGAGCTCACAGCATGATGCTCCTAATCTCTCTCAATTGCTCATAACTAAGAGCAATTGATCGCTCTATCGCCCGCTTCAGCGTGAGCGTTCGTAGCAACGTTTTGCCGCCATGCCATTTTTTGACTTGACGACAGACAGGGTGGTGCAATCCTGATACGCTATGGCTCGTCCCGCGTTTTTTCATCTTCAGGCGCTTTTTGTGTTCCTCGCGCCTTACCTTATCATAGCTAACAGTGGCACCACTCCGATCACCACCGCCGCTATAGGAGCGAACCTTGGGTTAGTAACATTTGCTCACTCTAAGCTCATATTTCTCTCTTTCGCTATTTCTCTCTTGATTCAGTGTGAAAAAACAGACCGTTATTCGTATGATGGCGATCTGGCGTCGCCAACGATAGTTCGGCTTCGGCGGATCTTTGTCCCAGCTCACTTGAACTCGGAGAGTGCAACTAGAATCGACTGTGACGCTTTCAACGATGAGCCATGAAGAATCACGGAAATACGGTGCGACTCACTAATGCCTTCTACGCTCATACCTCAAGCGGTGGGGATACTCCCACCGGTGTTCTATCGCTCAGTTCCGTCCCGTGTAGAAACCGTTTCGTACTTAGCTAGGCAGTCACATTTAGGTATCGAAGTAGTAGTATGTATATATATCGATGGCTGCTGTGAAGCTCAAGATCGACCGACCGCCGTCGCCTTACTCCCACCCACTTTGGGAAGTTGGGGTTGCTGACAACCTCAACTTGCTTGTCCCTGCTCGATTCTTCTCTTCAGTCAACCGTTTAACTAAGACTTAAGCCCTATGAGGCTTCGTCCACGCAATGAAAGCAGTCAGCTTGAAAGAATATAGCTGTCTAACTGACGGCTTCCTTTTTCCGGAATAGATATTTTGTGGGTGAGACTTGGCACCAGAGCCAGCCCATCGACGATGCTATTGCTGATGGAGGGACCAAGAGGAATCAAACAACATAAATATCGCTGCCAGCCTTGTCGCGTCAGCCGAATCAAAGAAGGGCATCAACTACAACCAAAAAATGAGATGGCTGTTTAGCTGCCGCAAGCGCATCGGTACCCGTACAGTCATCTGAACGGTGTAGCTATTTGCGATCAATGTGACCATTGGTGGCATTACGAGATGATTGGCCAACCAGAGAGAAATGAAGGATTCGTTATGATAACCAGGCGAGAAGGCGTTCTTCAGGCGGATAGCTAACTGGGTTGTCGATCATCTTTCCCGAAAAAACCAGATAACAACCACGTCTTCTCAGTGCAGGTGCTCGTCTTGTTGGCTGGGTCGTGGGCAGAGATTTTCAATGGCCCTCTTTCCGCTTGGCGTTTACCTCCTCTGCTGACTTAAGCTATCCTGACCACTCCAGTTAATAATTTTGGGGAAGGTTTTGGCCTGCGGAGAAGGCTCGGGAGCGTTAGCGTAAGTGCCAGATATTTAACCAGCCATTATGGGTATTATAATATTATGTTGTAGTATACGGCAGTGATCATGAAGGAGCCGGTGACGAGA